GCTAATTAAAGTAATACATTGGTAGCCTAAAACTTTCATAATCGCAGGGGCGGGAGTCGGACATCATCTAAATTCTTATGAGTAAGTCTTTAAGGTCTTCCATTTCGCTCTTTTCCGCTCCAACCCAATTAATTGTTTAAAGTATTGCTTATTAACGAAACAAAGTTTTCTACTATAAACCTTTAAGTGACGCAGATTTAATGCGATTACTGTAAATGATTTACGACATACACGAATAATTATATACGCCAATTATCATTATAGCATGCCGTAATTTAAAATAAAATGTTATAACTAAGTTACGGTACGACCCATCCCAATGTGTCAAGGTTCGTCTGCATCACTAATACGTACGTACGTACGTACGTACATCGATTTATTTGACATGCAATTGTATACTGCTGCCATGTTCGTATACCGAACCTAAATTTGTTAAAAAAAAAAGTTTAGATTATGTGTTCGGTTGCGTACTGTACGTATCTGTATAATGCGCCCACACACGCATTACTTACAGTAAACAGGGGCTTATTCAAGAAATTCCAATACTATTCAAGCCTTCATTGGTGCCTTGTATGGGAGGCACTTTACAAATTGGATGCCGTGAAACTCCGTTATCCGAGATCGGTAATGCTTGTTTGGAAAGCTCCTGCAGTGTTTTACATTAGTCATCTTATCAAAAATCACGATGTTTTACAATTTGTGTCAGTGTTCCTCCATTTTAGGAAGTTTGTAGGCCGCAAAGATTATGGTTTGAGACGAATTTGTAACATTGTGAAAAGGTGTGCCAAACTTAGTTTAGCCCTAGGTTTGGTTATGCCGCAACGATTCAATAGATTCGTGTCAACAGATTCATATAAAATACACTTCACACTCATCACAATAATGATCTGTCTCAATATATATATATATTTTTATGAATAGACAATGGCGTGTTCTAATTTTCAAAAAAATTGTGTAAAAAAGGTTTGTCAAATCAATTACTGAATTAATATTTATGATTATATTTCCGATTTGATGAATAATATCTTGTTCGTAAAACAAAAGCTAAATAGGATAACCGC